ACTATTCCATTGCAGCCACTGCATTTGGTTTTCTGGTCTGGCGCACGACGAACGTTGTTTTGGGTGCCCACATTTCAGCCCAACAACGACTCTATACTTCAACTATATTTCGGCCCTATCTGCACTCCACCTCCTTCGATACCCCGCACTTTGAAGTGAGTGTTTCAGTTTGTTCGGTGTTTTGAGCACCGTTCGGTTTTTGAACATTTTAGAAATATATACGTAAAAAGTGATCCAATACGTACCCAGACGGAAACATTACGCAATGCATAAAAAGTGTTTGGCGAATGGGAAAAAACAATAGTTATGTAAAAAATAATGCATCTATAGATTCCCGATCTAAAAATAACACGTTAAAAAAGAAAAAAGAAATTCTGTCCTACCAAAGTGATTTCGGATTGAATATATTATTGATAATGCTTATCATCAAATATTAGTATTAAATAGTTAAATAATAAAGATAACAGGGAAGCAATGTTGTTGACATAACTGAATAATCTTTTTGGCTGGAAGAACTGTATTTCTTTCTACTTAAAAATTGTATATAAACATTAATATATAGATTTAAAAACCATTCTAGTAGACAATTGAGTACTTAGTATAGGTGGCACTACTTGGAGTTCATTTTGTTACATCATGACCTTAACCTTAAACCATTGATCCCTTTTCCTAGGCACTTCTTTAAGGCACCATGTTCAAGTCCCTGATCGATGCCGCGCAGAACTCAACGTTCAAGTCGCCATTCACCAGCGTCAACTGCCAGGCCGCTCCGCCCACTTCTGCCCCCTCATCCTCCGCAGTGGTGACCCCCACGCTCAGGGATGTTGCTCCTCGCCAGCTGACTCCAAACCACAACATCGCTGCCGCTGCTGTTGCCGAGGGTGGTAAGTGGACATACTCCTCCTGGATCCATGAGTTGGATAAAATTATTATTAATCTTGTGCAGATTCCTGCGAATTCGGCTCGAACCACTACTTCCTGCTGTGCGGCCTGGGCGGCATCATCTCGTGCGGCTCCACACACACCATGGTGGTGCCCTTGGATTTGGTCAAGTGCCGCCTGCAGGTGGACCCGGCCAAGTACAAGAGCGTGTTCACCGGTTTCCGCATCAGCTTGGCGGAGGAGGGCGTCCGCGGACTGGCCAAGGGATGGGCACCCACCTTCATCGGCTACTCGATGCAGGGTCTGTGCAAGTTCGGCCTGTACGAGGTCTTCAAGAAGGTGTACGGTGATGCTATTGGCGAGGAGAACGCATTCCTCTACAGAACCGGACTCTATCTGGCCGCCTCGGCCTCCGCCGAGTTCTTCGCCGACATCGCCCTGGCGCCCATGGAGGCGGCCAAGGTCAAGATCCAGACCACGCCCGGATTCGCCAAGACATTGCGCGAGGCTCTGCCCAAGATGACGGCCCAGGAGGGCGTGGCCGCCTTCTACAAGGGCCTGGTGCCGCTGTGGATGCGCCAGATCCCCTACACCATGATGAAGTTCGCCTGCTTCGAGCGGACGCTGGAGCTGCTGTACAAGTACGTGGTGCCCAAGCCGCGTGCCGATTGCACCAAGGGTGAGCAGTTGGTGGTGACCTTCGCCGCCGGCTACATTGCCGGTGTATTCTGCGCCATCGTCTCGCATCCGGCGGACACAGTGGTGTCCAAGCTGAACCAGGCCAAGGGTGCCTCCGCCCTGGATGTGGCCAAGCAGCTGGGTTGGTCTGGTGAGTACTGGCATATTTGAGGATCTCCACCAGCATCTGAAACTATCACGTTTTTCCTATTTCAGGATTGTGGGGCGGTTTGGTGCCCAGGATCGTGATGATCGGCACATTGACCGCCGCCCAGTGGTTCATCTACGATGCCGTCAAGGTGTTCCTGCGCATGCCACGCCCACCACCACCAGAAATGCCCGAGTCCCTGAAGAAGAAGCTGGGCGTGACTGGCGAGCAGTAAACCAAATACTCGTATAAGCTAACTGTTTTTAAATTTAGAGCGAGCAGAATGTTAATCGAATTAAACTTGATTTGTATAGATAAACCACCCAGTAAATAAAACCACACACAAATTAAGCACTATTAATATCAAGGGGTAACAAAAATATAAAGAATATAAAAAATATAATTAATATTCAAAATAGCCGCCAGACTCAAGATCCAACATTTACCTCATTTTCCAACACTATTTTAGCACTTTTAGTTCGACACCGAACAGCTGTGCATAACAGCCCTGTCCAATGTCAACAAACAGCGGGAAGAAGAAGCAGCATTCAACACGCGGTTTTTTTAACTGCATGTTTATTAAACTTCTATTAAGTAAAAACATTGAATAATGGTTCAGAATAAGCAGAAAACAGCGAAGCCACCAAAACTACTAAAAGGCGCGGCCAAGGAGCCTGCACTTGCGAAGGCGGAGAACTGGCAAAAGGTGAAAATCAAGGGCCACGTGATATCCGACGATTGTGGCGGCTACGAGGGATTAATTGGTCTGGAGGTGCTCAAGGACTACGATGCATCGCTGGTGAAGTCCTCGCAGAAGAGGACTACGTCCCGGAATCCAGACAGAGAGCGCAAGACGAAGAGCAAGAAGCGGAAGGTATCGAAGGGCGGCGAGGAAGAATCCAGCGAGAGTTCCAGCGAATCCGAGAGCGAGGATGAAGTGGCAGTCGCTGCCAGGAGCAGTAGAAAAGCCCGTCTGGCCGAGCGTCATGCGCAAAAAATGCAAAAACTTAAGGAGAAACGGGAAAAGCGAAAGGAGCTGCGTAAACAAAAGAAGTCAAAGGGAGAGGAAAAGGAAAACGACCACAGTGAGGATTCCAGTGATGAACACGCGGCAGATCGCTTTGCGCTACTCAGGCCACCACCATCAGACACTGAAGAAGAAGTGGCCAAGGCGGAAGATTCGGCAGACCAGCAGGACTCCAGCGACGAAGAAGCACCTGAATTAGTGCCAATCTCCACGGGCGAAGGCGAAGATGTATCCGCCTGGAACGGCCTGGGTGTTCCCGCATCCATTCTGCGTGCCCTCGGCGAGCAAGGCTTCAAGGCGCCCACTCAAATTCAGGCACTGACTCTGCCGGCTGCCATCCACGGCAAAAAGGACATCCTTGGAGCAGCGGAAACGGGCAGCGGTAAGACCCTGGCCTTTGGCATACCCATGCTTGCCGGAATCATGGAGCTAAAGCAACGGAATATTCGTTCTGGCATACGCAAGGCGCCCAAGGTGAAGGGGCAGCAGCCGGAGCCAGCGGCAGATGAGCACGAGCTAACGCCTCCGCCGGAGGAACTGGATCATGTTTCCGGTGCCAGTGATGAGGAGAGTGATGCCGAGGAGCATGCCCAGCGCATGCAGACACCCCTGTACGGTCTGGTTCTCACACCCACCAGGGAGTTGGCCGTGCAGGTTAAGAATCACCTGGTGGCTGCTGCCAAGTATACGGGCATTCGAGTGGCAGCCATCTTCGGAGGTCTAGCAGTTGCGAAACAAGAGCGAGTACTGCGCCAGTGTCCGGACATCGTGGTGGCCACACCTGGTCGCCTCTGGGAACTCTACGCCCAAGGTAATCGACATCTGGGCAAGATCGAGGATGTCAGTTTTCTGGTCATCGACGAAACGGATCGCATGGTGGAGAAGGGACACTTCGAGGAGCTGCGCAGTCTGCTCAAGGTTCTCAATTCGGACGAGCAGAAAAAGCATCAGCGCCAAAATTTCGTTTACTCGGCCACTCTGACGTTGGTTCACGATCTTCCCGATCACATGCAAAGTAAGTTACTTGGCTCTTTCTTGATTTCCAAAACTAACAAGAACTTCTTTACGTTTAGAGCGAAATGTGGGTAAGCGGCCGAAGTTTGTGAAACAGACAGTGGATCAGAAAATTGAAAGTCTTATTGAGGAGTTGGGCATCTCCCAACCGAAGATTGTGGATATAACCAGCTCCCAGCGTAAGTATTCAAAGCTAATCATGGACAAAAGACCAGATTTATAGGGCTCATCTGCAGAAACCGCACAAACATTGACCGAGAGCCGCCTGCTGTGCCCCATCGATCATAAGGACTACCATCTTTACTACTTCATTCAGCGCCACCCAGGCCGCACCATTGTTTTTTGCAATTCCATCGACTGCGTCAAACGACTTGCCACACTATTCGGCCTGCTGGACTGCAATCCCCTGCCCCTGCATGCCAACATGATCCAGAAGCAGCGTCTGAAGAACCTGGAGCGATTCCGTGACAGTCCCACGGGTTTGCTGATAGCCACTGATGTGGCTGCTCGTGGTCTAGACATACCAAATGTGGAGCATGTGATCCACTACCAAGTGCCGCGCACCAGTGAGAACTACGTACACAGATCGGGCCGCACAGCACGAGCGAATAAGCATGGCATAACAGTCATGTTTATGGAGCCGGGAGAGGTCAAGAGCTATGTTAAGCTGTACAAAACGTTGGAGAGAAGTGAGTGAAACAGCCATTTTACATGAAAGATGTTATACATATGGGCTTACTTCTCAGCTGAGGATCTGCCGCTTTTTCCTATCTCGGAGCGTTTTCTGGGAGCTGTGCGCGAGCGTGTGAATCTGGCGCGCGATCTGGACAAGGAAGAACTGAAGCTAAAGCGCGTGCAGAGTGAGCGCGGCTGGATGAAGAAGCACGCCGAGGAAATGGACATGATCATTGATGGCTACAATGACGCATCGTAAGTGCTCTGACCCAGGCCTCACCCAAATGAAGTCTAAAGCTATATTGCTATTGCAGTGGCAGCGACCAGGATGAGGACCCATTCGTGATAGAGCGCCGTCGCAATCGGCTGCGCGTGGAGACAGTCAGAGCCCAGCTTCATGCCCTCCTGGCACAGCCCATCTTCCCCAGGGGCTTCAGCTTCAAGTACCCTAACAGCGAGGCGGCCCAATTAGCCACGAGTCACACGCAGAGTGCCGTGGAGACCATGAAGGCGGCCATAGAAGACCAGAAGCAGGCCAAAAAAGACCGCAACAAACGAAAACGGAAGGCGTAAACTAACTTAAAGCTGTTTTATTGAATAAGAAAAAGGCTAAAGCTCTGTATCTTTGTATCAATGCTTGGCAACAAAGTATCGCACACCTCCGTCTGTCAATGAGCGAGCGTGCTTGGCCAGCAATGTGGAAACGGACAAATTCGGGGTGGTAAAGCACCTGGATATAAAACCGAAAATCAAAACAACTTCTTGGCATGTGTTAGAATTACTTACTCTATGTAGGGTTCCATTTCCTCCATTGTCCATCTCTGCTTAGTCTTGAATAGGGCCCGCATGCGATCGTTAATATTGGTGGGCAGTAGCTCCTCTGCCAGCGAGCGGATGCAGGGCTGAGCGCCCTCCTTGTCGCAAATGCCCAGACCACGTAGGTACTTCAAGTCGCAGGACATGCCCTCGGGTAGCGCCTCCTGCCAGGTGCGCATGAACTCCTCATTGCGGAATCGCAAGCCCGGCTGAAGAATGTTCTGTGCCACAATTCGGGAGACCATCGACTCCTGGTACTCAAACTTTCCCGGGCTACGTTCGCTTGGCGTGGTATAGATGTCAAAAAGCCCAGTCACTACCTCCTCTGGTGCTATGCCCTTCAGGGCGCTGATGGTTTCCTCCCTTTCCACTTCGTCCAAAGCCCAGGAGTTTTCACTTATCAATCCCAGCATAATGTTAATAATGCGATATTCGTACTCGTATTCCATCACGCGCATTCGCCCGTCCAACTCCATGGCGCGATAGTGGTTCAATCCCTCCAGGAACTGACCCCGACTGCATTGCACCGTGTCCAGGAGCTGAGAAAAGGTGAAGAGCAGCTTTTGCTCGATGCAGAACTCGTTCTCCGGCCCAGAATATCGAGTTAGCTGCAGCAGTTCGCCCAGCTTGCGAAAGCGCGGTTTGATCTCGCGGCACTCGAAGTACTCGTGGAACACCTTGAGCACCGGCCGCTGCTCCAGAGTCCTAGGCACTTCCAGTTCATCCTCCGCACTGTCGTTGAGGCTGCGCTCTAGGGAGGTATTGGCGTTGCCAGTGCGCGGACTTTTCAGCGGAGAGGTGCTGGTAGCGGCGGCAAACTTGAGGTCCGGCACCAGCAACAGGCTGTTGGAGATTTCCGCTCCCTTCACGTCGTAGGTTCGCTCATCGGTGCACAGCACCAGTTTCTCGTTCTGGCCACCCTTGAAATACAGCGTCTGGCCGTCGCGGATTTGTCCCAGCATGTGCCCGTCCAGCTCCAGAAGGCGCAGATTGTCAGAATCCACGTCCGCCGACGGAAAGTACAGGGCCTGGGTGAGTTGGGTCAACTGGCGCTCGTCCAGTTTGGCGTGCTTCACAATGGCCTTCACATCCTCCGGCGTGCGAACGTAGCTAGCGGGTGGTTGGGTTTCATTAGAGTGTTAAAACCGCCTTTGCGATGGCACTCACAGCTGGGAAGCATTCTCATCAACCTCCATGGACTCCATGTCCATGTTTGCTGCATGTAAACAAAAATTAATTGACCAAAAAAGTGAGCGGGAAAAAGTAGTGAGACCAATTCACAGCGATTTTGATTCCGTTGAGGGTATTCAGCTGGCTTTAAGCATGCTAGCTTACTGCGTTGGCGAAACACGGCAGCATTATGCCCCACACCCTGCAAGGCCACACTGACCGCGCAGCTGATCAGTTATTTAACGGTCGAAGCTTCGGCGAGAACGTTTCCTCTTTTGCGCATTAATTTCGCGAGCACGCGTCTTGTTTTTTTCCCGTTCGCCGTGCACTTGGACGCAGTGTGGAAAGCGTTGACTGCGCCGAAGGTCATTGCTGGGCAAGCGGAGCGTCCAATCGCCGCTGGTGGTGACGTTTGTGGAAAAATCAATTCGGGCCCGTGACGAACGTCGACCTACCAGTTCTGTGATAAGTGATAAGCGGCCGAATAATCCAAGCGGAATCCGAATCCAAGCAACAACATGCCCGTGGGAACGTTCGACGCCTGGGATACGGCTGTGCTGATCAGCATCCTGGTTGTGTCGGCTCTGATTGGCATCTACTACCGGTATACGGGCGGCAAGCAAAGAACCACGCAGGAGTACCTGATGGCGGACCAGAGTATGACGACCTTTCCGGTCTCCTTCAGCCTGATGGCCAGCTTCATGTCCGCCATTTCACTGATGGGCGTCTCCAACGAGTCCTACGAATTCGGCACCATGTTCTGTGTGATCAACATTGCCTATGTGCTGAGCACGCCCATCGCCGCCTACTTCTTCCTTCCCGTTTTCTACAGGATGCGGACGACCAGTGTGTACGAGTACCTGGAGCGGCGCTTCGGTCAGGCCACGCGCCTGTCCGCCTCCCTGGCCTTCACTGTGCAAATGGTGCTTTACATGGGCATTGCCCTCTATGCACCAGCGCTCGCTTTAGAAGCTGTAACCGGCATTCATCGGTCAATGGCCATCGTGGTCATTGGACTGGTCTGCACCTTCTATTCGACACTTGGCGGCCTGAAGGCAGTGCTCATCACGGATGTGTTTCAGTCCTTCCTTATGTTTGCCGCCATCTACGCCGTGATCGCCGTTTCGGCCATTAAAGCTGGCGGATTCGCGGCCATCTGGGAGGTGGCTGTGGAGCGAGGACGCGTCAACTTCCTTGAGTTTTCATTGGATCCCACCGTAAGGCATACCTGGTGGTCACTTATAATTGGCGGCATGGTCACTTACCTCTCTTTGTATGGAGTTAATCAAACACAAGTGCAGCGACTTTTGAGTGTCCGCAATTTGAAGAGCGCGCAGTCAGCGCTGTGGTGGAACTTGCCCATTCTAGGAATGCTCAGTTTCAGCACCATTTTCAGTGGCTTGGCTATATTCTACTATTATCGAGATTGCGATCCAGTGCTAAAGGGACGCATCGAAAAGCGGGATCAGGTGATGCCCCTTTTCGCACTTGATACTATGGGTAAGTTTGAAACACATCCAATAAGGGTTTCTATTATTTGATTTCATTTTTGGCAGGTCAATATCCTGGACTGTGCGGTCTGTTCGTGTCCGGAATATTCTCCGCCAGTCTTTCGACGATTTCGTCGGCAGTTACCTCTCTCTCGGCCGTAACGCTGGAGGATTACTTGAAACCCTTGTACAAGGCGATATTTAAACGGACACTAATTGACTCCAAGTCCACGTTGCCCACCAAGATTGTGGCGTGCATATTTGGTCTGCTTTGCATCGGGTTGGCTTTCGTGGCTGGCTCCATGGGCGGAGTACTCCAGGCCTCGCTTACCATTTTCGGCGTGGTAGGCGGTCCTTTGCTGGCCATTTTCACCCTTGGAGTCTGCACCACACGCAGCAACCAAAGGGGCGTGCTGCTTGGATTCCTCGTTTCTCTAATAGTTTCCTTCTGGATGGGATTCGGCGGACCCAAACCAAGGCCAGTTACCTTGGAGTTCAGCACAGCGGGCTGTGAGAATGCCACTTCTGTAATGGCGCACGCCATCCAGCTCAGCGCAAAGAGCAGTGGGGTGGTCATCGAACCGGACTACTTCTGGTTATATCGAATTTCCTACCTGTGGCTGAGCGTGATCGGCTTTCTAATCGCCGTGGTCGTGGGCTATGGCAGCAGCATTGTGCTGGCACACTTTGGAAAGGCAGAGAACGCGGAAATCTATTTGGACAAGTCTCAGAATCAACTGGACTATGACCTCTTCGCACCCATGCTGTCTCGTCGCTGGCGACGCCAGGAAGAACAAAACCAAACTGCCCAGGACGAAACGCTCACCAAGCTAACTGAGCAGTAGTTCCGCCGGCTTAGATTTAGTGTAGTTTATATATATAGATAAAAGAATTTCCAGGAGGCGTCGGCTATACACACACGCGGTATTTGCTTAGTCTTGTTACGGATGTCGTACCTAAAAGTGCATAACTATGTGACCTTTTTGTATACCTGTGTGAACAAAACTTGCAAACAGAACGACCAAAACAGAGTCTTCCATATACACACAAACAACGATAATTAGTAGTTATTAACCGTGTTGCAAATGTTCACAAGCAGATCATTAAGAGGCCTCTTAAGAATAGTCAAATGTTTTTTACAATACCATATAAAAAGTAGGATACTACCTCAATAAACTTTTACAGAGCGACAATAATAACTTTGGAGCCTAAGAGCGTGTTGGCCGACTACTTTCCCATGCTGAGCATTGGCAGCCACAATGCCTCACATAAATTATTGATTTAGTTATACTCCTCATTTAATTGGGATATTTATGTTCATACCTCCTAGTTACTCGATATTTTTATAGATACCATAGTATGCATGCAGCTCGAAGTTTGGGTTTTTAATATACAATACAGTGAGCACCGCCTATAAATAGTTACTATATGGCTCTTAAAGCATTACATTGCGCCACATTGTGAATTCTGTTTACTTATATACCTATACCTCTAAATGTACACAAATATACATAGACTAATTATATACTCGTGTCGTGGCGCAATCAACTAATAACTCTAAGCAGTGAAAGTTATGTGTATTTGTAAAACCAAACTGCTGATCATTACAAAAATCTGTTCTACAAAATGTGATTGCTTTTTTGCTGCGGAAACATGAGACCTGTAATCCAGCTGCAGCTGGGATTTTAATAATTACTTTGGGTGGCTCATACATATGTGTTCTCAGAAATCACGATTTGTGGAATACTACCTCCGATAAGCAAATTCGTGCGCTATCAGCTACCAAGGTTATGCGTGGCTCTCCCAACATTGCTTACTCAATGAGGAATCTATTTCGGAACGAATGCCATAACTTTCAAGCGCTTACCTTTGCCAATTGACATGCCAATATTGCGCCATGCGGGAACAAAGTCTAAATGTGGGTCGGAGACAGCAAATTGCTTAAAATTGGAGGAGCCATGGGTCAGCATGTGGATGGGTTTGCCTGTAAATAAACGCCAATTGATAGATTTGTCGAAAGATCATTAATAGTTGTTGTCCACGCTCGTCGGGAGTGTGGAAAGTTTTCGATTGGATTGGGATTGGGAGTTCAAAGTACCAACAGAGACTCGCATGACACACATTTTTGGCTAATGTTCCGACGAAAGAAGAAACCAAAGCGATGGATATTATGGTTTGAGCATAGCCGATTCTTGTTTACCCTTGGTGTGCGATTACCTATTTTTAAACATATTTGTATTTACCAACGAGAACCTTAAGGTATTTGCATGTATTCAATAGCAAGGTCATAAAATATATACGTACATATTCACAAGGAAGAGTATCAAATTGCAGAATACGCCGATTAATGATTATTTAGCCTCTTTTTGCAACGCCAACTGATGATTTGGGCGATTTGTTAGCATTTGGAAGCTAAAGCTTTCACAGATAGTTCCATTGATGCGATAAGGGGTTTCGCAACTCGGCCGATTGGCACTCATTTGTGTGATTTATTGATCTATTGATTGTGCTTCCTGACAAACTCCATGAACACATCCTGAAAAGTTGTATGGCTGACCGAGTAGTACAATATCTGCATTTGCTCCTTTAAGTTCTCCATGTAGGCGAAGATCTCGGACCACTTGATCTGCCCTTTCGGAATGCAGAAGGTGATCATTCCTCGGTAGGAGTACTTCTCGCTGGGGGAGCAGAGTTGGATATTACTAAGCTATTACTTCAACTTCCCTCTCAGCTCATTGAAAAAATTACAAAATATAACTAAGATGCTGTGCAGCTATAATAATAACTTTCACCTAATCAAGCTTGACTTCTGTAAGTACAACATAAACAAGATTATTTTATTTCTGTGCCAGGGTGCGCGATAACCTAAAACTATGTACAATATGGTAAATAAACCGCAGTTCATTTCCAAAGTGAGCAACAAATGTTTATGTAGATAAATTTATGTGCACGTGTATTGAAAATTTCAATCTGCTGCTGCGAGTGGTCAATATTGTTAATTAGCAATGATCGTGACCCAAATAAGATGAAAGATTCCCTAGATGCCTTCTTCCCCAAGTAGTTCTTAAGTTAAAGGCAAAAGCTCATTCGAAATTACTCATACGATACGAATACTAAATGTAATCTAAGCAAATAACTTCTTAGCATATGGATTTTGTGAAACAAATCATATCATATGATAGATATGATCGATATTTGATTTGGACTTAGCATACCTGACGGTGCTATATGGATGGTCTTTTGAGAAGACTTCCTCCAATCTCTGCAACAATGCCTCGTAGTCCTGGCGCATGTTTAATTCCGAATTTGTGGAGCCTGGCTGTGGTGTGATGCGCCTCGACTTCTTGACCGCTGCTACTGAAGGCTTGTTGTGTCTATGTAAGTGCGCCAACAAGAAGCGGCGAGCGCCAACCTGGCTGCCCATTCTACTATCTTTCGGGGGCATCATGGCGATCTGATTCCAAGTGTCCCTCTCATCGTCCATTTCTGCGTTGGTGCCCATCTTCACTTTGACGAAAATGCCCATATTGAAGCGGAGCTTCAGCCGCGACAAACTTCCGTAGCAGAGCAGGGAGCCACGGTCCATGATGCCCGCATTGGTGCACAGAAACTCGCACTCCTCCAAGTTGTGCGTGGTGATCAGAATGCTGCGACCACCTTGGCGGATACCATCCAAAATCCTCCAAATCTCGTACTTGGCATGCATGTCTACGCCGGCGGTGGGCTCGTCCAGGCACATAAGCGATGGCGCCAGGGTGGCCATGGCAATCATTAGCTTCCGCTTTGTCCCGTTGCTGTATGTGCTGATACGCTTGTTCATGTGGGGCACGAGTTCAAAGCACTCGGCCAATGACTCCACCAAGCTTTTGATGTACTCCTTTCGAATGCCGTTGATCAAGCAACTGAAGCGCAGCGCATCCTGGCCAGTCATAAACGACGAGAGCATCGTTTCCCGCGGACAGAAGCCCATGTGTCGCAAGGCATTCTTTGGCTGAGTCTTGATGCTGTAGCCCTTGATGTGAATGCTGCCCACCGTGATCGACTCCATGCCCACGATCATTCGGAAGGTGCTAGACTTGCCAGCCCCATTCCTTCCCAGCAAACCAACGCACTCGAAACTGGAAAGATGTGCTTACTAGCTTTACCTTCAATATTCAATTATACGAATTGATCTTTCACTCACGGATTAAGATCCAATGTTAGGGACCGTACTGCCACAAAGCTGCCAAAGCGTTTGGATACGTTCTTCAGGATCAGAGGAAAGTAGGAGTAATGCGTGGTGGTCAGGTAGGTTAATCTCCGCCGGATTTTGGTAACTTCCTTATCCTCATCTTCGTAGCTTGGGTATATTTTTTCGTTTTTAATGGACCTAAGAGCAATTGGCAATCGGTTAGCATAAACGGTAAGCACAATCGATCTCGGCATAACTTGAAGACATAGTTTAGTAGGCGCGGAATCCACGCGAACACGACAAGAATCAAATATACCACTCCGCTGATGAGGAGGTAGCAAAGCTGCTTCTGCTTCACGTATACCGTATGACTATGTATCACCTCATACGCTCCGCAACATAATGCATAATGTGGATGGACCAGAAGCACGGACTCAATAACAGCGTACCGAGTTTGCGGAGTCTGGGGGTGGATGAAAAAGGCCAGAACACCTGAAAGTAAAGTTTCGTTACAGTATCCAAAAAAGAATTCAGTGAAGTCCGAATTACCTATCATGTTAATGTACAGTATAATACTGAACACTTTGCCGAAATCTTTGGACATCAGGCTCATCAGATAGGTGAATGAAATGGCGGAGAACCCGAAGGCAAGCAAAAGGAGTGCAATGGGCAATACCGATTCCAAGGCAAAACCGGCGGTCACGATCACCGACCAGATCATTGCGATGAATAAGCAATAGTCCCAAAACAGATGCGACAGCCAGTAGGTGCTCCTGTACATCCCGCTGCCGAATTGCTGGTGCTGCACGCAGCTCTGGCGCTCGAGGATCGGCAAAACCGCAAAGATTACGGTGCCCACGACAAGGTAGTGGAACACGAGCACGGCGAACTCAATGGAGCTGACGTAGATCAGCCCGTGCAATGCTTGCTTATACGTATCCTGGTACGGTTTGTTCACAATCCGGATATCCAGTCGGGCCAGCTCCTGCCCAATGGCCGCGTACACCAATCCTAACGAGAGTGGTGAGCCGTGTTTGAGCTTATTGTTCGACCAGGCGACGATCGAATTTGCGTTGCTGTCGAAGGTGACGCCGGCCAAAAAGGAATGCTGCACCTTTACGAGGTCCGACTGCATCTCTGCCAGCAGATAGTCGTCGAGAGGAGTTCCCCTCGTTTTCCGCACTGAACCTCGTTGCCTGATGACATTCTCCATGTAGCGTCGTGCGAACCTATCGTCGTCGGCCGGGGAGTCGATCACAAACACCGCCTTGGGGTAGATGCTCAAATTCGTGACCAGCAGCTCGGACAGATGATGGTCGACGAAGAACATGAAGGAGGCAAAGGATTGGATGAGCAGGCAGATGATGATTGGCGTCGCGATGATTATGCAGTATAACACACGGTGGCGGCTCATAAACAGGCACTTCTTCTCTATGATAGCCCGAAACTGATTGCAGCATTTTACACGTCCATCGTCCTCGCGCACATCGAAGGTGGGCAGGAGATCTGGATATCGTTTTTGTGCTTATAAAGATGCTCGAACATATGTACATACTCCACTTACTGAGCAGGGACGCCATGGGCGACGGACCGGACTGGAAGTCAAAGGAGCTAATTCGATTCCAGGACTGCCTCATTTCCTCTCCCATTCGCAGAAACACACTTCCCAGTGTGGGGGCACACACACTGATCTCTAGCAGATTCAGTTCGTTCAATGCCTCCTCCAGCTCCAGAAACAAGCCCGAATATCGCTGCACATGCTTGGTGGGCAGCTCGTAAGTCACGTAAATGCCGAACTCGTTTTGCAGCCTGATGTCCGGAAAACGGGTCTGCAGAAAGTGCGTCACCTCCGCCACCCAGCATGTATCCATCTTGGTGCAGATCAGTAGGTAAGATGAGCCCGTGTCCGCGACCTGGGTGAGAAAGCCCGTGGTGCCGTATCCGATCACCTGGGCATCGCACAAGACCACAATTTCATCTGCAACCACCTCGGCCTCGTGCATGTTGTGCGTGGCCATGATGATGCAGCGACCCTTGCGTTCCCGCCGCAGTAGGTCCCACATGTTGCTGCGCATCGGAGGATCCATGCTGGTGCCGGGCTCGTCCAAAAGAAGTATCTGCAAGGCAGGAAATTTAGACTAGGAGCCAAATAGATAGGCGTAGTACCTTGGAGTTTCCGCACAGAGTGCAGCACAGCATGAGCATTCGCTTGATACCGCTAGGCAGATCCTTCACCTTAGTGTTGGCAAAGTCCTGCAAGTGACCGATCTCCAGATACTTGTCCGTCTCGGCAGAGGCCTCCTGTTGGCTCAGCCCCTTCAGGCGGCAGTAGAACTGGAGGTGCCATCGTGCCGTAACCTTCCCGAACTGCACATTGTGCTGCGGGCAAAAGCACATGGATCGGCGCGCTTTTCTCTGCTCGGTGGTCAGGTCATATCCATTGATGGTGATTTCGCCGGCGGTGGGCTTTAAGAAACCGGCCAGGAGCATGAAGATTGTTGACTTTCCCGAATCGTTGTGGCCCAGAAACACGGTGATCTCGTCTTGGTAGAAGTTTAGATTGAGCTCTTTAACTGCAACCCGTTCGTTGAAGACCTTTTCAATGTTTCTGGCCCGTACAATCAGTGGATGCCCTCTGATTCCCGTTTCCTGCCGTTCGACATCCGAGTCACTGGATCGATGGCGACCATTCCCCTGACACCAGAAGGAAGGCTGCACCGGAAAATACCACTTTCTGTTCCGATAACTCTTCAGCTGTTCCATATAAACTAGGATAAGTAGGCGGAACAGGCAGCCAAACAGCATGAGGATCAGGATGGGGCCCAGCTGCACAAATTCATTCCAATCGGTGCGCTCAAACATATATTTCCAGTGCATGCCCAAGCGAAGGTTCTCGCTCTTAATGAACTGTTGCAGTCCCATGGCCAACGAGCTGTTCAGGAAAAGGCAGACGAATATGGCGCGCGGTAAAGTGGGAATGTAGCCCATGAGCAATAGGCGCCATGGCAGGCAGCCAACTAGGTGCACGATCACTATGGCCACTTGCACACCGACCGTGTCCGAGAAGAAGGACGATATCATGAAGGCCGAAGTCAGGACCTCCAAGTTGTAGACCAGCAGAAAGAAGAGCAGCAGAGACGAATCACTCAGCGAAAAGTAGCGCCACCTCAGCAGGAGAACCATAAATACGGTGGGTATGGACAGGAGCAAGAAAGCCACCAGAAACCAGGACAGCCAGTATATCCATGCCCGCACGCCCATAAGTTGCAGCATGTCCCTGATATGGTCGCGCCTCTCCAACACAATCATCTAAAAATACCATTAAGCTACCATCATATAAGGAATATACTTGCATACTTGGGCAAGATATGCGGCGGATATGGTGACGGGCAGGAAGAGAACGCCGCCCAAGGCCACCGTGTTATCCAAACCGTCGGCTTTCTCGACATCTGGATAGTGCTGCAGAATTACTTCGGGTATTAAGGCGGCTTCGTTTTTGGCCCTGATCAACGCCTTGCTGAGCTTGGCTTGCACAACTAAAAATCCCTCGACCCGATAGTAATCAACGTCCATATTGGAGTGCTTGAAGACCGAACTGTTGTCCCAAATCATCTTGGGATCGTTGCGCAGGTGAAGCGGAAAACGCAAGCGCACTGTGACATTATTCGGAAGTACTTTTATGTCGCTGAAGCCGTCGTCAAACTCAATGCCCACACAGCCATAAGTATCCAATTCCGTCAGCGCTATACTCAGTTCAGAGGCGCTGGTAAAAGCCTGGCTACCCAAGGCCTTCAAGTCGTGTACCACATCCTCGATGACACCCGCTAAGACTGGATTCTTAGGCGAGTAGAAAATGTACCTGGTTCATTGGTTGTGTGTGTCAGGGTGGCCTGGATTATTGTGGCAGTCGGCACATACATACGGCACATTGGTTGTGATGTTGACGGGCGGGTACTTTACCGACGTCTCCCCTTGCGGCTCATGGAACAAAGCCGTCGCAGCATAGACGAGGAAGACTACGATGGGCCCCACAATGATGATCGCGTTGGTGAGCGTATTGGCGATCTGGAACCGCGCCGTCTTGGAGATGAGCAGCCACAACAGGCATATGCTGCTCTGGGGCTTCACGGGCGAATGCCCACTGGACATATTTGTACAATTTTGTTGACGCCAACACACGTAGACACATTAGAAATATAACAAACTTCACGTATACTCCGCACTAAAACGTTCCGGCTTCCGTGTTTTCTTTTATTTTGTGGTTGATGTGAAAATTCAAGACGAATCGGAAATCCGACAGGGAACGTAGCAGCTTACTTCTTCTTGGACACACCCACAGTGCGACCACGACGACCGGTGGTCTTGGTGTGCTGGCCACGAACACGGAGGCCCCAGTAGTGACGAAGACCACGGTGGGAGCGGATCTTCTTCAGACGCTCCAGATCGTCACGCAGCTTCGAGTCCAAGTTGGAGGAGGTCAGCTGCCAGTACTTGCCATCGATGATGTCCTTCTGCCTGTTGAGGAACCAGTTGGGCACCTTGTACTGCAGGGGGTTTGAGATGATGGTGACCACCTTGTCGACCTGCAAACATGGCATGTTGGTTGGTCTGTATCTCGGGCGAATTAGTCAGGCTTAACTTACCTCCTCCTCGGTGCATTCACCGGCGCGCTTGGTAAGATCCACATCGGCCTTCTTCAGCACAATGTTGGAGTAGCGGCGACCCACTCCCTTGATGGCGGTCATGGCGATGCCGACCTTGCGCTTACCGTCGATGTTCGTATTCATGATACGCAGGATGTGCTGGAACTTCTCTGGGATGACGAGCGACTGCAAAAATGAAATAAAAACATTAATAAATTGCATACGAGCCACGCCACTTTTGGCACCACAAAACGGTATCTGCAATAACCTCCTATTTTTCGCTTGCTGCTCTGAATTTCACATATTTTTGCGCAACTCACCATTTTGCCGTTTGTATTCTCGTATTTACTCCTCACTGCAATGAAATAAGAGATATTTTTGTTAAAACTTTGGCTAAAATCAAACGCGCAGCACACCACTCACCGGAAACGGGAAAAGAAAAGAAGGCCGAATTTATGTGGCTGCCCGAGGCGTTATAAAGGGCCTAAAAATGCCTGCCACGTTCCGGCCGCGTGCTGTTAGCTGTTAGCCGAGTGCTGTTAGGCGCACTCTGGTCCATCACTAATTGGAATTTTAAAATTCAAAGGGCACCCGCATTTTGTTCATTGAAAATACTTAAATAAGCCTCTTAGGAATGTCCGTTGTACACAGCTGAAACAATAAACCATATATGTTGATTCATGAACAGTATCCATTTTAATCCTAACTTACATTAAGTACCACATAGAGCACTGCATCCCTAGAGCACAGTTATATGGTTGCAAAAGCTTTGCAGAATGGGTGAAATAAATGGTAAATTAACTTAGCAGTGCACACAGATCATAATAATTTGTATTAAAGCGCTCAGCTGCGTTGGACAAGACGATGTCGTTTCGCTACGCATCCTGTGCACCAAGACTCGCGATGGCGGGCAGCAGAAACTCGAGGAAGTGGACATGTACGGAAACACTGCCCTCTTGAAAGCCTGCTATTTGGGGCGATTCGAGTGCGCTCGTACGCTGCTGGAATTTGGCGCAAATGTCTTTGCTATGAACTACTTTGGCCAAAATGCCCTCACTCTGGCCACTTATGCTGGCCACTTGCCGCTGGTTAAGGAGCTATTGCGACGGCGCTCCTATAAGGATTTCAACCTGTCCTCTATGATCCCGGCTCTCTGTGTAGCTACACTGCAAAAACATTCCGCCTTGGTGGCGTACTTTACTCAATTGGATCCGAGGGGCGTGCAAGAAACGCAAACAGTGCATGGTGAGTAAAAAACAAGTTTATTTTGATGATAACATTAAAATAAATTAAATATTTTTAAGGTCTGGGAGTTGCAGAGCTGCGTGGCATGATTAAAACAGCAGATCGTTTAAATAAGCATAATGCGCACTCCCCACCCACTTTTATAAGCAATCGTCTGCGTTAATGTATTGTAACTATATAATAATTTATACATTTTAAGTTTTTTTTTCAATATATTCTGTGAACAGTGTGAACATACATATGTGCTCTGTTAATCAAAACAGTTGGCAGGCCGATAGCTGGCTGCTATCGATAGCTTTCGCACTATCGATAGCTGGATATCGATATCACCCGTGGCTTTTCACATCCCTATCCCGCTCATTTAGCCCGCCTGAAAGTAAAAAAAGAGCCCACGTTCGTCATTCATCCAAAAGTCACAGCCGCGGCAACATTATTGCTGTTAAACTCTAAAGCCCATCATCAGTATTTGAACAATAAAGCTCATTCAACATGTTCGAGGCACGCCTGGGTCAAGCAACCATCTTGAAGAAGATCTTAGATGCCATCAAGGATCTGCTCAATGAGGCGACCTTTGATTGCAGCGACTCCGGGATTCAGGTACAAACTGGAAAAGGAAGGGCTTAAACCATATGGATATCCTAACACCTTGTTAATCCCGCAGCTGCAGGCCATGGACAACTCCCATGTGTCGCTTGTCTCGCTGACCCTGCGTTCCGATGGCTTCGACAAGTTCCGCTGCGACCGCAATCTCTCCATGGGCATGAACCTGGGCAGCATGGCCAAGATTCTTAAGTGCGCCAACAACGAGGACAATGTGACGATGAAGGCGCAGGATAACGCCGACACCGTTACCATCATGTTCGAGTCGGCTAACCAGGAGAAGGTCTCCGACTACGAGATGAAGCTAATGAACCTCGACCAGGAGCACCTGGGCATCCCGGAGACGGACTTCTCGTGCGTGGTCCGCATGCCCGCCATGGAGTTCGCTCGCATCTGCCGCGATCTGGCGCAGTTCAGTGAATCCGTTGTGATCTGCTGCACCAAGGAGGGCGTCAAGTTTTCGGCCAGCGGCGATGTGGGCACGGCCAACATTAAGCTAGCCCAAACAGGCTCCGTCGACAAGGAGGAGGAAGCGGTGATCATCGAGATGCAGGAGCCGGTGACGCTGACGTTTGCCTGTCGTTACCTGAACGCCTTCACTAAGGCGACACCATTGTCCACCCAGGTGCAGCTGTCGATGTGCGCTGATGTCCCGCTGGTAGTGGAGTACGCGATCAAGGATCTGGGTCACATCCGCTACTACCTGGCACCCAAGATCGAGGACAACGAGACATAAGTAAGCTGTGTTTCTCACGTTTATGTTCCCGCATCGTCACTATTCATCCTCCCACGTACAATTCATTCCTAACTTTTAAGTAACTCTGCATTTTTGATCAATAAAAGCTATATTGTGTAATGTTAACTGGTTAAGTTGTAAAAATCGTTTTACGGATAATAACCATTTATTCGCATTCCATATATGTATAACACTGGGTATCGTAATCGTTTAAGCAGAGAGATTGCAAACATATATAAAGAGTAAGGTATATCAAACACCTCGTGTACCAAAGATATACATTGAGACGTGGCGTGGAATAGACAAAAAACCTTGGCATATCTCCAACATTGAAGTTCGGTAGCCTCACAGCTGCAAAAAATCTGGACAGACTATTGGGGAGTTTGAAGTCGAGGGTAATGGGTGATTAGTCTATTCACTGTATATAAGTACTCGATCCGTATGAGGCACATAGTCGGGAGTTTTGCAACAAAGAGCTCGAAGCGAGTGTGTGCCTGCATTCAAGAGCATTAATCGTAAGTATATGTAATAAATAATGCGTGTTTACACGCTTCCAATACTTGCATACTTGGCTTGCTTTTAAGAGCTAAATATCCTATACTTAGTTTGTGAGTATATAAAACATAGAAAGCTGTGTCATATAAAAGTGTATAAAAAAACCTTTGAGATTACATATTATAAAAAGCAAGAAAAGTGCGTATAACAATGAACAATTTAAATTGTTCCTGCGCATAACAAAATTCGATTTACACGCCTATGTGAGAGGAGAAATCCAATGGGGATAATTGCAGGTGACAATATTTTACAGTGATGGTGAAACCCCATTGCCACTTACAATCAATCTGCCATCGGTTACTATTGTTCATTGTCCGTGTTTTAGTTCTCCAGTCCAATAGGCGTATAGACCGATGGAAATTCGTCCTATGAAGCGGCTAAGCTCGCACTGGGACTGGAGGACTCCTCGTCGTCCATCGAGTTGCCTTTGTCAATATTTTTGAGCTTCGAATCTGTTTGAAGCAACGTCTGTAGAGATTTGATGCACTTCTTAGATCCCTCCATGGCTTCGTTGGATAACTGAAAGAAAAAACAATGCTATTAGGTTTCCAGAACTCGTATTGTTAGTTCCTTTCTTACCATGGTGAAATTAAGGAATCCGTGCGGAAGGCCCTCAAGTATTTCCAAGTTTACATGGCGACCAAGCCGTTTCAGTTTCTTGGCAAACATAACGCAGTCATCTAGACAGGGATCCATGTTAAGAGTCTGTGCGGAGAAGAAATGAAATTACTGAATCGCAATACTTCATTGAACTCCATAAACTTACAAGTATTTTGGTCTCCGGCAGTTGGGAAAGCCACTCATCACTGGCCCAGTACGGCGACAAAAATGGATCTTTAGGCACATCGAATGCAAACTCCTCGCTGGGACTCCGTGCTATCAGTGCGTCCATGTTGCGCACATCCTGTTGACCCATCACGTTGCTGCCATGAATCTCATAAGATTGCGTGCAGCGGGTCAGGGTGTTGGTTATGTTGTTGACGGCTTCCTGCAGGCGACCCTGCAGCGTATCCATTGCAACGAGATCGCGACCTGTCTCCACCAGAATCTCATCATCTGAACTGATCTTCGCATGTCCATTTGTCTGCGCTTGCCCTGCTTCGGGTGCTGTCTCTTCGGTTACCTCCATTGTGGCCGTGTCAATGAGATACTTGTCCAGAAAATTGTCTATATAGGCTGCAGAGGCGGTGTCCTTAGGTGGGTCGGCTGATATTTCGACTGGGTAGTGAACAATGGGCTGTGAGTCGTCCTCAAAGGAGACGCACGAGCTGTTGTCGCCTTCGGTGTTGGGGAGATCGGTACGCTCCACAGTTTGGCTGTGGTAAGAGGCTGATGCGCTGGCAAAGGTGTCACTGCTTTCGTCATCTGGCTCAATGCTGGCTTCCAGCGGCGTAAGCGGGCTTCTGGCCATCGAAGTGCGGCGACTGGAGTTCAAGCTCCCCACGTTCGACTTCGGGGCATTGCGAATCTGGGCGGCATCCTCGACATGCTTGGCATTTTGCTGAAGTGTCTCCTGGGCGGGAGCGGCATAGGCACGAAGGCAACGCATCATGAAGCCGAAGGGCAGCAGTGGATCCATCAGACAGAGAAGGCGGGCAGGACTGGGCACGAAGCTAACGAGAGTTGGGCAGTAGGCTAGAAACAGACCATCTGGCACTCGAACTCCCTGCTCAATGCACTTGAGGGCCACTCCAATGGACAGATTTGCCCCAGCCGAGTCTCCTGCGCACACAATTCGCTCAGCCGTTGTGCCAAGGAGTTCGGTATTGTTCAGAAGCCAGCAGTAGGCGTAGTAAACTTCCTGCAGTGCGCGCGGAAATGGTGCCTCAGGAGCTAGGCTGTAATCCACCGAGAGAATTGGACAGTCCAGTGCCACGGCCCAGTCGCGTAAATACAGTTCGTGGGACTTGGAGGATTGGGCCACAAAGCCTCCGCCATGGCAGTGAAACAGAATCGATGGACTTGGCGGGATGGGCTTGTGCCAGCCGCGGTAGCGACCTTCACCCAGCATTCCCGAACGTCGCCTTGCGCTCAGCAAGCGAACGGAGACCGGCAGACCGGGTCCCAAATGTGCCGTGGGCACGGGTATCTCCACAAAGTCACCATCGCCTTGGTTTTGGTTAACGTCACTGCTCAGATTCTCCGATGCCTTGAAACCCTTTCGTCGCGGCAGCTTCAGCGGCTCAGCTGGCAATTCGATTAGCCGGTTAACCTTTATGGAGCTGCCCACAATGCTGGGCAGCTTGTGCATCATCTCGGATTCGGCCAGAAACCAAAAGGATTTACAAAAGTCGATCTTAGCATTCTGCGAGATGTTGACGATACGACGTGCGCGCAGTTCCGGATTCATAAGATACTTGCCGCTGGTCCAAAGGCTGCGGGTGGTCTTTACGATGGCGCCATCGCCCTCCTGCGAATAGTACGATTCCGAATAGCTGGCCATGCTGATGCCGAGGAAACGGAGAACTCCGCGTATCGAATCGCCATACTGGAAGCCTAGGCAGCGTCCGTAAAAGCAATACTGGTTGATGGTGTCGCCCAGCTCAAAGAGCTGCTCGGCAGTGTGGTTTCCGCATGCGAACAGATCACCCGTGCTAGCCGACCACTGGCGTAGGATAAGCAGGTACTGCAGACATGTACATAGCGAAGACAACAGCTGGGAACAGGCCTCCACCTCCTTCATGTAGAACTTCTTGCGGAAGAACATGGTGGAACGGGTGGCCGTCAGCTGCTGGCAGATGCTAATGCCATGTGTGATGCAGGCGTTGGTCACGTAGATGAAGCTTCGATATCCATTGCCCGGCGTCTGCTCGTCGAAGTCGTACTCGTGGGCGAAGGCGGCAATCTGCTGAACCAGTCGGTTGGCCAGGACGATGAAGTCCTGCCAGGCAATGTGGGCGGCATGCAGGCGCTGACCGAACTCGGTGTGGTCCCTGGCAAAGAAGGCGGCGTGATCCTGGCAGGCGGCGAACAAGGTGCCATATGCCGTCTCCAGGTCGGCGGGTACGTGGTTGTAGGTGTCCTTTCCATTGACTGCCTGTGGGTTGTCGTCCTCGTGGCCCAGTTTCAGATTGTCATTAAAGAGGGCAATAAACTGGGGGCTTCCCCGTTCGGCGGAAGCCGCGTCAATCATTGTGGGCTGCAGAGGAAACCAATTTGGTTATGCATCTATGGCAAACACATCACAAGCAATCGCACAATTGCACAACTGCAACGACAGGTGATAACTATGTCCAATGCAGTGCTGTTCCGGATTAGAGTTAGAGTGACTAACTTTGAGAGTATGAAGGTCGCTTTCAGTCTTAAACCAGTTTTTTGGTGCTCGTAAACTTTATACTTTATACAT